TTACTTTGCATAATTATAGTACGGATGACGTATTATTATTATTATTATATCAACTACAAACCATCATTATTACTAGTAATTCCTTAGCTTGTAAGATGATACATGGAAGCAATTTAGGACTAAATGGTTATATTTTTCATACTCTAAAAGAGCTGTTTTAAAATACTTGTTTATAGAAAAATATTTGTTTATAAAAGAATTATACAAAACTTAATTTTTAAAACCATAAATACTTTTATACTTAGAAAGACTTATTTTTAAACTTAAAAAATATTATAATATTGAGTAATAAAACACTCTCTTCACTATATAAAAAAAGTAGTGATATTGAAAATATATTTAATATTTCAAAAAAATGTTTAAATATATTAATGATATGAATACTAATACTTTAAAATTATTAAATTTATTATAATAATATTATGTTCAATTTAAATCAAATTTAATCAAATTTGCTAGACATAATCAGATCTTATCAGATTCAACCAGATTAGATTAGATTCAAAAAATCAGATCAGATCCAATTAGATCTCAACTTCAAAAATTCAGATAAGGAAAACAGAACAGAGCCTTAATTTATTAGTTAATGTTAATCTTATTTCTTGTTTTTATTAATCTTATATAGATGCTTCCACCACTTTAATTACACACTAGTATCACAGCTGTATGTTGCACATCTTATACTTACGATATGAAAATATATTGGTGTCATTATTAAAGAAAAGAAATAGACTATACAATGGAATATAAAGTTTTTTATGACATTAAACCATGAATATCAAATGAATTGCAAATTTTGGAAAACTCTTTTATAAATACATTACTGGTATAATTTGTGGGAACATTCTCTGTGTTGTATATTAGAATTTTCAAGCCATTGCGATTTGTTACTCTTGAAACCGCAATATATAGTTGTCCATGACTAAATAATGATTTCTGTAACAATAATCCTACGTGTTTTAGAGATTGGCATTGACTCTTATTAATCGTCATTGCATATCAAGTAACCATAAGAAGTTGTCTTTTTTGAAACTTGAATAGAATTCTTGCATCAAATGATGTCAATGGTAATCTTGGAATATCAATCTTCCCCCATATGTCTTCCGGATAATATCTTTCCATGTATTATCTAATTAGCCAATCGAGTACCATTACATAAACCCATCGAATGATCAATATAATGTTTCCATAGTATCCGTATACACGAGAACATATAAGGGCAAAGGCATCGGTTGTTTTGTACCTTTAGCATCGGTTTTGTACTGATGCAAATACATGCGATGCAATGGGTCCAATTCAATTGCATCACTTTGGAAACAACCGATGCCTTTTCTATTTCATTAATTTACAAAAAAGAATATTAGCATCGGTTGTTTCCAAACAATCGTTGCCTTTGCTATTTTATTAATTTAAAAAAAGAGTATTAGCATTGGTTTTTTCTAACCAACCGATGCCTTTGCTATACTGATTTTTTAAATATTAATAAAAGGGGGTATTGGCATCCGTTGTTTAGACACAACTGATGCCTTTGGTGTTTTAATTTTCTAATTTTTTTTTAAAAATTGTAATTGCATTGGTTTGTCAAAAAGAACTGATTCCTTTGCTATATTTATTTTTAAAAAAATAGCCAGAAAATGGTATTAGCATCGGTTCTGTAGAAATAACGGATGCCTTTGGTGTATTAATTTTTTAAAAAAAATTAAAAAAAGTATATTTTCATCGGTGTGACTAAACAACCGATGCCTTTGATATATTAATTTTTAAAAAAATATTCAAAAAAGGGTATTAGCATCGGTTTTTCATTAAAAACTAATGCCTTTGCTAAATATATTAAATGCTCATAAGGGGATCCAAACATAACATAACAAACATAACAAGAATGCCTATACATACTCATAAGGGGATCCAAACTGAAGAAAGATTAATTTCTATATTAATCTCGGAGGTGAAGCCTCGAATATATACACGAGACAAGTCTCCTAATTATGGTAGGATGTAAATGCAATCCTTCTATACAAGGGAAACTACCAAATATATAAAATATATTAAATATACAACATATATTTAACATGCTCCCAACTACGTAACCGATGAAGGACGGACGCTGAGACTGCGTCTGAAATCGGAGAAGAGAAGTGATGGGAGTCCTTTGGTGAAGATGTCGGCATACTGGGAAGATGAGGGAACATGAAGTACGCGGACCTGTCCTAGGGCGACCTTGTCTCTGACAAAGTGAATGTCAACCTCCACATGTTTGGTGCGCTGGTGCTGAACAGGGTTGGATGAGAGATACACTGCGCTGACATTGTCACAGAAGACCAGAGTTGTGCGTCGTAGAGGTTGTTGTAACTCGAGAAGCAGATTCCGGATCCAACTCGCTTCGGCAACGGCGTTTGCAACGGCACGATACTCAGCCTCAGCACTCGAGCGGGATGTGGTAGCTTCTCCCTTGAGTTGTTGAGTGAGGCGCTGAAGTAAGGAGGAAGAGGAGGCGGTGAGAACAATGTCATCCACATAAAGTAACAAATATGCCCTGTCATCCCCACGGGTGTAGACAAAAAGAGATGTGTCACTCTTACAGCCAATAAAGCCCAAGGTAAGGAGAAATCCTGCAAAGCGATGATACCAGGAGCGGGGAGCTTGCTTGAGACCGTACAACGCCTTTTCCAGTCGACACACATAATGGGACCGTGTTGGATCCTGGAACCCGGATGGTTGAGTGGCATATACTGTCTCCTTAAGAGTGCCGTGAAGAAAGGCGTTCTTCACATCCAGCTGATGAATAGGCCATTTACGTGACAGGGCTAGGCCAAGAACAATGCGCACCGTGGCAGGTTTCACCACCGGACTGAAAGTCTCCTCATAGTCGATTCCGAAGCGCTGATTGAATCCACGGACTACCCACCGAGCTTTGTACCTGGACAGTTCACCTGTGGGGCCAAGTTTGTGGCGAAAGAGCCATTTACCGGTGATAACATTTTGGGAGGGGGAGGGGGGTACAAGTTCCCATGTATCGTTGTTAATCAAAGAATTAAATTCATCGCACATAGCATTATACCAGTTCTGGTCCTTAAGGACACTACGGTAGGTAGGAGGTAGAGGGGAGATTTGGGCGGTAGTGCTTAGGTCGAGGATGTGTTTGGGACGGGTGATACCCGCCTTGGACCGGGTGACCATGGGATGGGTAGGGGTTTGGCCGTGAGGGTTGGGGGGTGGGCCGTGGGTTGTGGGTTGGGTGGATGTGGGATGGGCTTTGGTTTCGGCCTGGGTATGGTGTGACGGGGGGTGGTTTGGGTTGGCTGATCCGTGAGGTTGGGAGGGGAGTAGGCCGTGGGTGTATTGGGTGAGGAGCTTGGGTGGGCTATTTGGGTAGGTTGAGAGTTGGGGTGGGCCGTGGGAGGGTATTGAAGGTGGTAGGGGGTGGTGTCGTCTTCCGTGGAGTCGAGGAAAGCTAACTCTGTGGGACTGGAGTGGTGACTATAGGGGTAAATGTGTTCATCGAATACGACATGACGAGAGATGATGACTTTGTGAGTTTGGAGATCAAGACACCGGTACCCACGTTGGTTGGGCGGGTATCTGAGGAAGACGCACCGGGCCGAGCGAGGGGCAAGTTTGTGAGCAGCGGTGGCAGTGATATTTGGGTAACAGAGGCAGTCGAATACTCGAAGGTGAGAGTAGGTGTGGGGTTGGCCATAGAAGACTTCGTGAGGAGTGCGGAAATTGAGGGTGGTGGTGGGGAGGATATTGAAAAGATGAGTGGCCATGTGGAGTGCTTCGACCCAAAAAATGGGTGGGAGGTTGGCTTGAAAGAGGAGAGAGCGAACAGTGTTGTTGATGGTTCGGATGGTGCGTTCGGCTCGACCATTTTGTTGGCTAGTGTGGGGGCATGAAAAATGGAAGATGATGCCCAGAATTTCAAAAATGGTTTTGAGTGGTGTGTTTCGGTATTCGGTGCCATTGTCACATTGAATGGCTTTAATTGTGGAGTTAAATTGATTTTTCACAAAAGCAACAAAGTGTTTAAGGTGAGAACACACATCAGATTTATGATTTAAAGGAAAAATCCACAAATAATGAGAATAATCATCCAACAATAACATATAATGTTTAAAGCCTGTAACACTGGGAACGGGGGATTGCCACAAATCAGTATGAAGAAGTTGAAACGGAAAAGTAGAAATACGACTCGATGACATAAATGGGAGCCGAACATGCTTTCCCAATTGACACGCATGACATAAAGAATTCTGAAAATGTTTATTAAGACACTTAGATAAAGACGGGACTCCACGAAGGACGCTATGGCTGGGGTGTCCAAGACGCCGGTGCCATAGTTCTAGATCAATGGTTGTGATGTTGGCTTGGGCCTTGGTGGCTTGTGGGCTCATAGGGTAGAGTGGGCCGGCATCATTGGACCGATGAATCATGGACCCAGTCTGCATATCCTTCACAGAAAAACCAGTTGGGTCAAATTCAACGGTACAATTATTGTCACGGGTGAATTGTCTAACAGAGATAAGGTTATGGATGATATGTGGGGATATAAGGATATTATGTAGGGACAAAGTGGGGGAGGTGGGAAAGTAATAATTACCGGTAGCCGTAGTGCGAACCTTAGAACCATTACCAACAGTAATATATGAGGATGAATTTAAAGAATGAGAACGAACATGAGAAACTGTACCTTGGTCGGAGGCGATGTGGTGAGATGCACCGGTGTCCATGTACCACGTGGGGTCANGGGGGGTACGGTTGGGTATATGGGTAGGAGGAGGAGGAGCTGCCAGGGTGTGGGGGGTGCTGGCCGTAGCTGTCCAGCGGGCAGGAGGGTTGTGGGTGGGCGTAGTAGGCCTGTGGGGAGGGGTAGGGTGGGTACGTGGGCTTGGGGCCGAGAAGGCTGGGGTAGGGACTAGGGTTTGGTGACTTCTAGGGCTGCTGTCCGTGGGTGGTGCGGGGATTAGACCCGGAGCTTTGGCCTCGTCCACGGTTGCGCTGACCTCCCCTTCCTCGACTGCCGCCGCTGCCTGAGTGCCCTCGACCACCGCTGCTGCTGAAAGAACCACGACCCCTACCCGCGGGGCTGTGTGGGTGAGCGCCGGTGTGACCAGCCGTGAAGAGGGCCGTGCCAGGTGATGGATCGGCGCTGTCCAAGTCTGATTGCTGACGCTCCAGGAGAAGAAGTGCTGAGCGGGTTTGAAGAAACGTTGGCGGAGGAGTTTGGAACTGGAGGAAGGAGGTTTGACGACGCATGTCGTCGGGCAGCCCCCAGAGAACCTGCAACACCAACTGTATTTTCGAGACAGGGGCATCTACGTCGTCCAACCAATCGGCTAAATTCTTGAGAGTTTGACAATAAGCCGATATGGAGAGCGAGCCTTTCTTCGTTGTCCGGAATTGGTTCTCCAATTGCATTGTCCGGGCCGGTTTATTGTCATGAAAAAAAGAGTGAATGGATCACCAAAGTTCGGACGCCGAGTCGGTAGAGGAGAGGACTAAGTCGGATACCTCGTCGTTGATCGTTGAGAGGATCCAACCCTGGATAAGAGCATCGAGTTGGTACCAATCGGTGTCGTCGTCGTTGGAGGGGACCGATTTTCCGGTGAGAAAGTCACCGAGGGAGAAGTGCCGAACCAATAGGAGAAAGAGGCAGCTCCATTTTTTGTAGTTTGGCTCCGTAAAGCTTAAGAGGATCGGAACGTGAAGTTTCACGTTCGAGATGGTCGTGAAAGGCAGGTGAGGAGTTGAGACCGGGGAAGGACACTTGTCGGAGGAGGGTTTCTCGGCCATGGAGAGGGGCTGCTGCACTGGTGCATTGCTGGAGAGACTTCTGGTGCAACACTGGGGAGGCTGCTGTTCGTGGGTGGCGCTGCTGGGGAATGGCAGTCGCCGGTGAGATAGAGGGGGGGGGGGAACGCCGAGCAATGGGCTGCGGCGTTAGGGTTTGGGGAGTGCGGGTGTGAGACGACGCACGAGAGAGAGAAGGAGTTTCTTGGTTTTAGGCCACGGAAAGAGGCTCTGATACCATGAAGAAAGATTAATTTCTATATTTATCTCGGAGGTCAAGCCTCGAATATATACAAGAGACAAGTCTCCTAATTATGGTAGGATATAAATGCAATCCTTCTATACAAGGGAAACTACCAAATATATAAAATATATTAAATATACAACATATATTTAACACAAACATAACATTCAACCATTACACAATACCATATGGCATACTACGGGGTATATCATAAACAACATCAAACACTAAGTTCCAAAATATATAAAATGAAATACCAAGTCTAGCTAATGGTACTTGATCTGCAATATGTGGAATCATATAAAATACATGTAAACATAAAGAAAAAATGAAATACAATATATTTTTAAGGATACTAACAGGATGTCTCTAACGAGAAGCCAAGTGCAAATGTGTTGCTCCCTGAATTTGACCGAACAAGTCGTCAATTCATAGTAAAGGTAGTGATTCTTGATCGTCATCAGTATGATATGTTTGAATTTCTTAACAGAGATTTGTTGGTATCCTGACCGTATGTCAATCTTAGAGAACACAATGGATCCTCTAAACTGATCAAATTAGTCATTGATACGAGATAAAGGATAATGATTTATGACGGTAGTGTATATAGAGTCTCATCGATCCTTCTTTATTCGCATATGAACCAAACAGGTATTCAAAGAGGAAACACTTGATCAAATGATTCTTTGTTGAGAAATCCTTGAGTTTTTAATCTCAACGGAAAGATATAGAGTTTACATATATATAAGACAGATCAATACATGCATACTTTTATTGAATAAGGAAACTTATTAATGATGACATTTTATAACGGGATTTTTCCTAGCATTCACTCTTATATGAGTTCATTTGCGGATTGTTTCTTGCAAGTCGGGCTGATGTCAACTGACTTTGAACAGGGGCCATTGGAAATGGTTTTCCAGGGTTCATAGGACATTCCCTTCGAAAATGTCCAGGCTTTCCACAGCCGAGACATAATCCTTGTGTCATCCGGCATACTCCTGGATGGTGTCGATCTTCTACAAATATTACACTTCGGATGATTTCATGCCTTCAATTTTCTTTGAGTTGTGAGAGGCTTCATTCTTTTCGAGTGTGGGGCACTACAGGGTCCAATCAAAGGTTTCTTTCCCGGCCCTTATTAACTGGTTGTATACTATCATTGGATTGACCATCAATATTTCAGTGAATGTTTTGGTTGTCTGGTTCTTTTCAGACAACAAGATTGAAATTCGATATTTCAATATGAATCGTTGTGTGTCCATTGTTTGGCACTTGGTTATCTTGTCCAAGAGCGGTTTCTTGACTCATTCTACAAATACTAGGAATTTCCTTATTAGGAATCTTTATTTGCGAGTTTGATAACAAATATCATGAGAGTGTTCAACAGTTTCAATAATTGTAAACAATCATGAGACTTTTGGGAGAAACGATAGGATTTATTAATTCTAAATGTTTTCATTTACGAAAATGATCGGTTCACATTGAGTTCACATGAGGATCTTTGACATCGGCACTCACATATGTTTATTCAACATTAATTGTTTCTTCATTGTCGTCTCACTTCCATGCAACTTTAAGAGGCAGATCAATTTCGTCATTCGCGATGCGATGCGCATGTTGATAACGTATCAGAGGGTTATATATTTTTTTGTTTATTCTTTCGTTTCTTCATCAAGTACGAAAGTTCGAAATGAGTCTAGCTTGATATTGTTTTTGTACTAATAATTATTATCTAACGAGAATTTAATATAGTCAGTATTTACCAAGTAAATTCTTATACCTTTCCTGGAGCAGAGGGGTGCGAGAGTCGTGGATGTGATTGACATTTTTTTAATATAGCCGAAATATATATAATATATAAAATATTTTTTTTTAAAATCCAAGTTTTGATCCGAAGATCGGGTTTAAAACCATTTGCTCTGATACCAAAATGTAACACCCTAATCCGTCCAGGTCTGCAGCCCCTTTCGGCTAAAGTATTAACTTGGTAATCGTCAAAATTTAAAACATTTCAAACACTTTTATTTATCACAATAATATTTTTCATAATATAAATAGTACGAAGTTTTCAATATTGCGGAAGCTTAACAAATCATAATCACAAACATAACTTATTTATGTTCTTTAATTCAAAACCATCACATCCATTCCGACAATCTCGCTTCCATCTACCTCCATGATCACATCACTTTATTCTTTCTATTAACCTGCGTGTAGCAAATAAAACATACTACACAGTCAGCGTTGCAGCCGAGTTAGCATATCTAATGCATCGAACATCCATATAAACTGAATCTAAATTCATAATTAAATCATTTGATATCATGCACATAATGTTCAGTTCATATATTCAATAATCATTAGTTAATATTCATCATTCATTATTCAACATTTATATTCACATTCATCGTTCATCATTATATTCACAATATTCAATTCAATAAGCATCATTCAATATTCATTCATATTCAATATTCTACATTCGACATTATCCTTAAACTGATCTTAGTCTAAGGCCAAACACTTTAATGTTTATCAACCCTTAAATGAATTCTTGTTTAAGATAATTAAACTATATTCTAGTTTAAGGTACTCCAAACTAATCTTTAAGCTCGGCCTAGTTTAAGATAAAAGGGTTCTACAAAATCTTAAACTTACCTTTACTTAAGGCCAGCGAGAAACCGACAGCGTAGTTTTCACTGTTGGGTGGTTGGTACCCCCAAACAAGTAGGAACTCAAGTTTGGTTCTTGGATCTCGTACGTACGTTTTAACCCTGGCCACCGGGGTTCATACCCACAAGGCCTAACTTAAATGGGTATATCTTAGAGGTCTTCTAGATAGCTTTCAAATCAACATTATTATGGGTATATCTTAGAGGTCTTCTAGATACCCTTAACAATACATATTATTTTCACAATCATCAATATATTCATTATGATTTAATCATCCACAATTATCATTTTCAATCATAATATTCATCAAGATTTAATCATCAATCAATAATCATTACCATAATCATCAATCAACATAATATTCAATAACAATTATCGGCCTAGCTTCGGGTGTTAACATCCTACCTTACCGTCATGCCTCACAAAACATTTTTATTTGTTAAAAACATCACTTTTATTGTGAAAAATCATTTTTTAATGATCATAATCAATTGGTATCAAAAATAGGATTTTAGAGCTCAAAAATATCATTTTCAGACAAATTTTCGAATCAGATTTTCAAGGGATCGATCTAGCCCTCTGGATTGATCAGGACTAGAAGAAACACTCCCAATGGATCGATCCAGGCCATATGATCGATCCACACAGTTGTTTTTCAGCCACTGTTCAACTTCTTCAACCTTCAGTCCATTTTTTGGAAATACCATTGTTAGTCACCGAACTTCAACTAAATTATATAGAAATGTTCTCTAATGTTCATAAATCATTTTGGTATCATTAATTCATAGTTTTAACATCAATTCCATTGTTTATGATTCTTGGTTCTTCAAATATGTCAAACACAATACTCAACCAAACGACCGTTTATGAACGTGGAAACGATCTATACGAACATTCTAGTCACTAGATATATCTACGGGCTTACCTCGAAGCTTAACGGAGGTTTTGAGAATTTTCCGGAAAAACTTCCGGCGACGATAGCTCTCTACTCTTGCGACCTCACACCAATATGACAGCATCACTGCATTCTCCCTGTAACACCCCGAAAATAGGCCTATCAGAATTATTTAATTGATAATTAATTAATTACTGAGAAGGACCCAAAAAAAATAAGTAAATTCTAAAGTTTGTCAATAATTAATAAAAAATATATCATTGTGTAGAGTTTGACTATCTGACCCCAACGGTACAATCGGATTTCAATTCGGAGAAAGTTGGACCAAAAAGTGTACCCCGACTAGGAGCAGAAATTAGTCCGAATCAAGGACTACACTCCAATCGGCGTTTACTGTTTAATCGGCGCACTAGCCGATTTGGGTGACTCAGGAATATTTCATCCATGTCTTCTTCTCTTTTCTTCCTCTATTTAAGAAATCGTAATTCCCTCAATGCTCCACCAAATCATCCCAAATTTCTTCCTAATCTGTTGCCCTGAGTGAGGAGAGTTTGCTGGTGCTCCCATTTCCAGAGAAAGGTCGCCGGAGTTAAGAGCTTTGTTCGCAGGAAGTTTCGCCGGAAAACCTTCAAAACCTTCATTTCACTTTGAGGTAAGCCCGTTAATATATCTAATGACTAGAATGTTCGTATAGATCGTTTCTACGTTCATAAATGGTAATTTGGTTGAGTTTTGTGTTTGACATGTTTGAAAAACTAAGAATCATAAACCATGAATTTGATGTTAAAGTTATGAATTGATTACACCAAAATGATCTATGAACACTGGAGAACATTTCTATATAGTTTAATTGAAGTTCGGTGACTAAAATTGGAATTCCCAAAAATAAACCTGAGGTAGAAGATGATGAACAGTACACGGTAACAAACTACCGCCAGAACGGTAGATAGATACCGTCCAAACGGTACCCACCTGCCGTCGGGACGGTAGGGTTGCTACCGTCTCCACCGAATTCCACTGGCGGTACCTATCCACCGGCGGTACACCCTACCGTCGGCACGGTACCAAGGTGTCGTTAACCGGTACTGAGGTACCGTGAAGGGTACCGTCCGACCCGACGTTTTTCCAGAAAATCCGAATTATGAACCACAAAATCCTATTTTTAATACCAATTGATTATGATTATTAAAAATATGATTTACCACAATAAAAATGATGTTTTTAACAAATAAAAATGTTATGTGATGCATGACGGTAAGTTCGGGTGTTAACACTCGAAGCTAGGCCGCTAATTGTCGTTGAATATTATGTTGATTGATGACTATGGTAATTATTATTGGTTGATGATTATGATGATTAAATCTTGATAATTGTTCTGATTAAAAATGGAAATTATGAATGATTAAATCATAATGAACATATTGATGCTTGTGAAAATAACATGTATTGATAAAGGTATCTAGAAGAACTCTAAGATATACCTATATAAGTTAGGCCTTGCGGGTATGATGCCCGGTGGCTAGGGTTAAAACGTACGTACGGGATCCAGGAACCAAACTTGAGTACCTACTCGTTTGGGGGTACCACCCAACCCAACAGTGAACACTACGCTGTCGGTTTTTGGTTGACCTTAAGTGAAGGTAAGTTTAAGATTTAAAAACTCTCTTTAAAAATATATATATCTTAAACTAGGCCTAGCTTAAGGATTAGGATATCTTGAACTAGAATTAGTTTAAGAATGGAATTGACCTTAGACCAAGCATAGTTTAAGGATATTGTTAAATATTGAATATTGAATATGAATGTTGAATTTTTAGATATTGAAATAAAAATATTGAAAATATCATGAATGAATTATATATTGTGTGCATGATATCAAATGGTTATTTGTGAATTGAGATTCAATTTATGTGGATGTTCGACGCTTTAGATATGCTTACTCAGCTTCATCGCTGAGCGTGTAGTATGTTTTATTTGCTACAAGCAGGTAGGCAGAATGAATGATTGGCATGTTCCTAGCAGCAGAAGGGGCGAGACTGTCGTGGTGGAAATTGTGATTTTAAATAAATAATTATGTTGTTATTAAACATGGTTTAATTTGCTTCCGCATTATTGTTAAACACTCTGCATTTTACTATAATTATGTATTAAATAATATTTATTATGAATAAAGATTTTTGAAATGTTTAAAATTTTATGATTACCAAGTTAATACTTTAGTCTGAAAGGGGCTGCAGACCTGGACGGATTAGGGTGTTACAATTTGGTATCAGAGCAAATGGTTTTAAAACCGATCTTCGGATCAAAAGTTTGTTTAAAAAAAAAATTTATATATATATATATATATGTATATATATATATATATGTGTGTGTGTGTATATATATATATATATATATATATATATATATATATATATATATATATATATATATATATATATATATATATATATATATATATATATATATATATATATATATATATATATATTTTCGGCCCTAAAAAAATGATGTCAATCAAATCCACGACTTTCGCATCCCTCTGCTCCAGGAAGGTAATAAAAATTAAGTATTGAATTGACTATATTAAATCTTTATAGATGTCAACTGTTAATTCGGAAATGATATCAAGTGTTGATTCAAGTCGCACTTTTGTACTTGGTAAAAGACGAAAGAACAAACGAAATGTCTATGCCTCGTTGATACGATACCAACGTGCACATCGCTTTGCGAGAATAATGAAACGAAGGATTTATCTACGCCGCAAGGCTGCATGGGAACGTGATGACCCGGAAGAGACGTTCAGCGTAGACTCTGCAAACAGCGTGTGCGGATCAGGCGTGGGAGACCCAGCTGTAGATTCGTCACGATCCAACCAATCGAACGCAAACGTTTAGAAATTTTCTTGTTAATCGTTTCAAATCCATTGATTGTATCGACTGTTGTAATCCTTTGCAATTCCTGTCTTAAACTCAACTACTGAATAAAAGAATCGTAATAAAGGAATTTCTGTTATTGTAGAATGAGTCAAGAATCTGCCCACGGACAAGGCAACAACAATGAACACGTTAGTGTTCATACTGAAGCATCTAGTTTCACCCCTCCCATCCAAAATGTACCCGTCAATCAACAAAATGTTGGGAATAACCTGAATGCCGGTGGTCAACCCGACCTTGTAATTCCGACTTTCTTGGCTAGCGTGTTGCAGCAAATAGCCAACGCACCAATGTTTCAACCACCTCCACCACCGCCACCTCGAGTAATAACATACAAAACTCTAAGGGATAACGGTGCAGAATTATTCCTTGGAGATCGCATCGGTGAACCCTAAATTGCATGGGATTGGATCGAGCAGACTGCTCGAGTGTTGAAAGATCTCAATGTACCTCTGGACAACTACCCGCGACTGGCTTCTCAACTGCTGCGCAATGAAGCCTACGAGTGGTGGAAGAGAACCGATGAAAGTGCGGGAACCCCTAAGCCGTGGACATGGACACATTTCGATTAGGCATTCAAGCAAGAATACATTCCGAGACGCTTTAGTGAGGAAAAACGTAAGGAATTTGTGGAGCTGGAACAGGGAAACATGACACTCCCTGAATACCGTCAGAAGTTCACCAAACTTGCAAAGTTTGCGCCAACCTTGGTGAGTACCCCAACCGATCGCATTGAGGAATTCAGGACGAAACTTCGACCTGACCTGAGGTCACGTGTGTCCGTCCTAACCACCGTGGACTTTGTAGAGGCCTACGAGATTATAGCCAGGGCAGATAGTGACCTGAATGCTTGCATAGAGTACCTAAAGGCAAACAATGCTGGCTCAAGCACTCACCGTCCCACTAACTCTGTCTCAAAAGGAAAAAGGCCATTCCAGGAACCTAGTAGTTCTCATTTCTCTAAAAAGGGAAAGTCTGAACAAACCCAGTCAATGACATTCGGTAATAGGACTAAGGGGTGGAAAAATCCACAATGCGATAAATGCGGAAGACACCACCCTGGGGAATGTTGGCTTACACAAGGGTTATGCCTCGGCTGCGGAAAACCAGGACATTTCAAAAAGGAGTGCCCTACAAATCCTGGAGAGCCATTTCCATCTGCCCTCGTTATTAGCCAGTCTGCATCAGCACGACCTGCACCAAGTCAACGGTCAACTACGGGATCTAATCCTGCTAAAAGTCAAAACAAACAACAAGGACGAGCTCCTGCCCGTACCTACGCAATGAAAGCACGAGTTGAGGAAAACCCTGACGTCATTCAGGGTATGTTTTCCTTATTTGATACTGTCATGCATGTGTTGATAGACCCTGGATCAACATTGTCTTATATCTGTGTACATATGCCTGAAAAAGCTGATATAATGAAAGAACAGTTAGAACAACCTATACTAGTGTCTAATCCGTTAGGACATAGTATGAGGTTAGATCATGTGTATCAAAATTGTCCATTGATTGTTGAAGGGCATCAATTCTCTGCCAATCTTGTCGAATTACCGTACAAAGAATTTGACATCATCCTCGGAATGGATTGGCTCACCAAACACCAAGCAGTTATCGATTGCCGACAACGAATGATTCAACTAAAGTCTGGAAAAGGAAAATCTATAAAGGTGAAATAGAAGCTAACACCTAAATCCACTGAATTCATCTCGTACATACACGCTAGGCGCCTCATTCGGAAGAAATGTTAAGCTTATCTGTGCAACGTACGTGACACACGAAAAGAAACTCTTGAGTTGAAAGACATACCAATAGTATGTGGTTTTCCTGACGTATTTCCTGACGAACTTCCTGGTATACCATCTTCCAGAGAAGTAGAATTTTCCATCGATCTTGTTCCTGGAACAGGACCGATATCTGCAACTCCCTATCGCATGGCCCCTGCTGAAATGAAAGAGTTGAAGGCTCAACTACAAGAACTGCTCGATAAAGGATTCATACGTCCGAGTGTTTCCCCTTGGGGAGCACCCGTTCTGTTTTTCAAAAAGAAAGACGGCTCGATGAGACTCTGCATCGATTACCGTCAATTAAACAAAGTCACAATAAAAAATCGATATCCTTTACCTCGTATCGATGACTTATTTGATCAGCTTAGAGGATCTACTATATTCTCTAAGATTGACTTACGGTCAGGATACCATCAAATCCCAGTAAAGAAAGAGGACATCCCGAAGACTGCGTTCCGTACTCGTTATGGTCATTACGAGTTTACGGTAATGCCCTTTGGTTTGACCAATGCTCCTGCAGTGTTCATGGATCTCATGAATAGTGTATTTCGACCTTATCTTGATCAATTCGTGGTTGTATTCATCGATGATATTCTTGTCTATTCGAAGAATCGAGAAGATCATACAAAACATTTGGAGATAGTACTCAATGTACTACGAGAACATAAACTGTATGCCAAACTGTCAAAGTGTGAATTCTGGCTTGATGAAGTTACGTTTTTAGGGCAAGTGATTTCTAAAGAAGGTGTTAAAGTGGACCCTAGTAAAATATCTGCCATCACCGAGTGGAAGGTTCCAAGGAATGTTCGTGAAGTGAGAAGCTTTCTAGGATTAGCTGGATACTATCGACGATTTGTTGAAGGCTTTTCCTCGATCGCAACTCCACTTAACAAACTTCTCATAAAGAATGTGAAATTCGTATGGATCGATGCATGTCAGCAAAGCTTTGAGAAACTAAAGAAATGTTTGACAGAATCACCTGTACTAACACAACCGGTACCAGGTGTAGACTACACAATCTTTAGTGACGCATCTCATAATGGCTTGGGATGTGTACTTATGCAAGACGGAAAGGTCGTGGCATACGCATCAAGGCAGTTAAAACCTCACGAGTGTAACTATCCTACTCACGATCTTGAATTAGCAGCAGTTGTATTTGCTCTGAAGATATGGCGTCATTATCTCTTTGGAGAAACGACATATATTCACACAGACCACAAAAGTCTGAAATACTTGCTAACTCAAAAAGAGTTAAACCTGAGACAAAGAAGATGGTTGGAATTGATCAAAGACTACGACTGTTACATCGACTATCACCCTGGCAAGGCTAACGTAGTTGCTAACGCATTGAGTCGAAAGATGATAGCCGAACTCCGAATTCAGCCTACCCTTGAGAACGAAATTCACGTTGCACAAAAACGTGATGACTACTGTTTGAAGACTTGTGAACTTGTATCTAAGGGGGAGAGACAAGATTTCACTGTAAAAGATGGAATTTTATTCTACCAGAATCGTTTGGTAGTTCCTAGTGGCAAAGTGAGGGAATGATTAATGCGAGAATCTCACGAAACCACATATACCATGCATCCTGGCAGTAATAAAATGTTCCAAGATTTAAGAAAGACATACTAGTGGCCCATAATGAAGCGAGAAATTTCTGAATTCACTACGCAATGTCTGACATGTCAACAAGTCAAGGCTGAACACCAAGTGCCAAGTGGATTGTTACATCCACCTACTATTCCTGAATGGAAGTGGGAACGAATTACGATGGACTTCGTGATCGGACTTCCATTATCTACCAAGAAGAATGACGTTGTTTGGGTAATCGTTGATCGATTAACCAAGTCATCTCATTTTATCCCAATTCGACGTGATATGTCTTTGAAGAAATTGGCAGAATTGTACATCTGTGAAATCGTAAGATTACATGGTGTACCTTTGTCTATCATTTCTGATCGTGACCCACGATTCACATCACAATTCTGGAAGAGTTTGCAAAAAGCTCTAGGTACTAAACTTAACTTTAGTACGGCATTTCATCCTCAAACAGATGGACAATCTGAAAGGACAATTCAAATTCTTGAAGATATGATGAGAGCATGTGTAATTGATTTTGGAAGCAACTAGGAACAATACATACCACTAATGGAGTTCGCCTATAACAACAGTTATCAAGCGAGTATCCAAAGGGCCCCGTACGAAGCCTTGTATGGGAGACGTTGTAGAACCCCAGTATGTTGGACGGAATTAAGCGAGCAAAGACTTGAAGGACCTGATCTCGTCCGCGAAACTGAAGAAAAGGTTCGTCTAATCAGAGAAAGACTGCAAGTGGCTTCTGATCGTCAAAAATCGTATGCTGACTTGAAACGTCGTGAGATCGAATACAATGTTGATGACAAAGTGTTTCTGAAGGTCTCACCGTGGAAGAAGGTGTTACGGTTTGGTAGGAAGGGAAAACTAAGTCCGAGATATATTGGGCCCTATCGAATCACTGAACGTGTGGGTCCAGTAGCATATCGGTTAGAACTTCCACCAGAACTAAACAAGATCCATGACGTATTCCATGTATCGATGTTGAAAAGATACCGTTCCGATCCATCGCATATCTTGACTGGGAAAATTGTAACTCTTGACGAACAATTGACTTATGAGGAGGAACCTGTACAAATTTTAGCGCGAGAGGTCAAACAATTGAGAAACAAATCCGTACCTTTAGTCAAAGTGCTATGGAGGAATCACTCGACTGAAGAGGCAACATGGGAAACCGAAGAGTCAATAAGAATGCAATATCCGAATCTCTTCAACCAATGACTCAGGTAATTTCGAGGACGAAATTATTTTAAGGGGGAGAGAAATGTAACGCCCCGAAAATAGGCTTATCAGAATTAATTAATTGATAATTAATTAATTACTGAGAAGGACCCAAAAAAAAATAAGTAAATTCTAAAGTTTGTCAATAATTAATAAAAATTATATCATTGTGTAGAGTTTTACTGTCTGACCCCAACGGTTCAATCGGATTTCAATTCGGAGAAAGTTGGACCAAAAAGTGTACCCCGACTGGGACCAGAAATTAGCCCCAATCAAGGACTACACTCCAATCGGCGTTTACTATTTAATCTGCGCACTAGCCGATTTGGGTGACTCAGGAATATTTCATCCATGTCTTCTTCTCTTTTCTTCCTCTATTTAAGAAATCCTAATTCCCTCAATCCTCCACCAAATCATCCCAAATTTCTTCCTAATCTGTTGCCCTGAGTGAGGAGAGTTTGCTGGTGCTCCCATTTCCAGAGAAAGGTCGCCGGAGTTAAGAGCTTTGTTTGCCGGAAGTTTCGCCGGAAAACCTTCAAAACCTTCATTTCACTTTGAGGTAAGCCCGTTGATATATCTAATGACTAGAATGTTCGTATAGATCGTTTCTACGTTCATAAATGGTCATTTGGTTGAGTTTTGTGTTTGACATGTTTGAAAAACTAAGAATCATAAACCTTGAATTTGATGTTAAAACTATGAATTGATGACACCAAAATGATATATGAACACTGGAGTACATTTCTATATAGTTTAATTGAAATTCGGTGACTAAAAATGGAATTCCCAAAAATAAACCCGAGGTAGAAGATGATGAACAGTACACGGTAACAAACTACCGCCGGAACGGTAGATAGATACCGTCCAAACGGTACCCACCTGCCGCCGGGACGGTAGGGTTGCTACCGTCTCCAACGAATTCCACTGGCGGTACCTGTCCACCGGCGGTACACCCTACCGTCGGCACGGTACCAAGGTGCCGTTAACCGGTACTGAGGTACCGTGAAGGGTACCGTCCGACCCGACGTTTTTCCAGAAAATCCGAATTATGAACCACAAAATCCTATTTTTAATACCAATTGATTATGATTATTAAAAATATGATTTACCACAATAAAAATGATGTTTTTAACAAATAAAAATGTTATGTGATGCATGACGGTAAGTTCGGGTGTTAACACTCGAAGCTAGGCCGCTAATTGTTGTTGAATATTATGTTGATTGATGACTATGGTAATTATTATTGGTTGATGATTATGATGATTATGATGATTAAATCTTGATAATTGTTCTGATTAAAAATGGAAATTATGAATGATTAAATCATTATGAACATATTGATGCTTGTGAAAATAACATGTATTGATAAAGGTATCTAGAAGAACTCTAAGATATACCTATATAAGTTAGGCCTTGCGGGTATGATGCCCGGTGGCTAGGGTTAAAACGTACGTACGGGATCCAAGAACCAAACTTGAGTACCTACTCGTTTGGGGGTACCACCCAACCCAACAGTGAACACTACGCTATCGGTTTTTGGTGTACCTTAAGTGAAGGTAAGTTTAAGATTTAAAAACTCTCTTTAAAAATATATATATCTTAAACTAGGCCTAGCTTAAGGATTAGGATATCTTGAACTAGAATTAGTTTAAGAATGGAATTGACCTTAGACTAAGTATAGTTTAAGGATATTGTTAAATATTGAATATTGAATATGAATGTTGAATTTTGAGATATTGAAATAAAAATATTGAAAATATCATGAATGAATTATATATTGTGTGAATGATATCAAATGGTTATTTGTGAATTAAGATTCAATTTATGTGGATGTTCGACGCTTTAGATATGCTTACTCAGCTTCATCGCTGAGCGTGTAGTATGTTTTATTTGCTACACGCAGGTAGGCAGAATGAATGATTGGCATGTTCCTGGCAGCAGAAGGGGCGAGACTGTCGTGGTAGAAATTGTGATTTTAAATAAATAATTATGTTGTTATTAAACATGGTTTAATTTGCTTCCGCATTATTGTTAAACACTCTGCATTTTACTACAATTATGTATTAAATAATATTTATTATGAATAAAGGTATTTGAAATGTTTAAAATTTTATGATTACCAAGTTAATACTTTAGTCTGAAAGGGGCTGCAGACCTGGACGGATTAGGGTGTTACACTCCCCACTGCGAGCAACAGAATAGATATAAAGATTGTGTGAAATGGTGGAGAATTGAAAGGATGAAGGTGGTCTTTATATAGGGAAGGAATGGAGAAGAAGCCAATGGTGATGTACGCAGTTCCTGTTTTGGCATCTCAGTGGAGCGGGCTGCTATATTTCTCCGATTCCAAACGCAAGTCCCTGATTGGGACTAAATTGGTCCCAGTCGGGGAACAATTTTTGGTCCAACTTTCTCTGAATTGAAATTCGTTTGCACCGTTGCGATCAGATATTTAAACTCTATCCAACGATATAACTTTTATATTTATTTGTAATACTTTTTTTGAAATCATATTTTCGGGTGATTGACTTTGACAGAGTCAAAATTTATTTATTTGACCTTACTCAAAAAGGTTCTTACATTTCATTCGTATTATTTATTCTCATGATTTATTTCAATAAATCATTTCAAAGTTCATATCATAAACAAACTTCTTCATTTATCCTTGATTTGGGTCTGTACTCAGATTCCCAATTAAGGTCACACAATAAGTCAACATATTGGATTTATCTCTATGAGACTTATCCAAATTTTGATATTGGATATTAAAACATATTTCATTTCGGCCCAAAGCCCAAAAACAATTATTATTATTATTTTTAATCAAAACAACTTGATTAATTGATTATTTATTTATTAATAATTCTATGGTATGTTTTAGGGCGTTACATGAAGTATTTTTGAGAATGAAGGAGTATGTTTTAATACTTCGAGATGTGATTGGGAATGTTGATAGTCGAACAACACCTGAGATTCACATGATAAAAAAACATTTTAGAAAGGATGATGGATGTTACATTATGTTAGGAGAAGAATAATTTGGTGGTCAAATCTTCTTCCTTCCATGAAAGAGTACACAGTATATATAGGCTTCATAACACAAACTCCTATTCTAAAAAGGAACCAATTATATTTACCAAAATCTACAGCTACCATATTTACATTACATAATATTTCTAAATATATTTGTTTCCAAATATAACTTCCGTAACACCCCTCCTCAAGTTGGAGCATGTAACGAACAAATGCCCAACTTGGGAATTAGTAACTCCATGCCTGCCTTGTTAAAAGATTTGGTGTGAATGTCCGCAATCTATGTCGTAGTGGAAACATGTTCTGTGTCTATAACTTTTCGAAGAATCTTATCTTGAACAAAATGACAATCAATCTCAATATTCTTTGTTCTTTCATGACACACTAGATTGGAAGCAATGTGGAAAGCAGCAGTGCTATCACATCGAATCTGTTAGAATAAGTGACCAACGCTAGAGGGGGGGGGGTGAATAGCGTTTGATCGTATAAATTGCAGAAATAAAAAAATTAAGAACGTGAAACGTAAAGAGCGTAGAAAGCGTAAAGGGAATACACCTAGATTTATACTAGTTCACCACAACGTGTGGCTAATCCAGTCTCCCGAGAGACTCTCTCGAGCTACACTACTTCCGTTAATCTTACGGGTGCTTAACAAACTGTTACAACCTGAGAACTCGAGTCCCACGAGCCTCAACAACACTTTCTCGGAGATACCGCACTCCAAGACTTCAAGCTGAAGTAAAATACCTTTCCTTCGTACAACCAAGGGAAACAAGCTTCCTTTAACGTGTAACAACACTAAAAACACTCAAGAACAAGACTCTGTTCAAGAGTGGATATTGAGTAAAATATATATGCTTAAGAACAACTCAAATTTCACACGAATTGGCTCTAAGAAGCTATGGAAAACGATGTTGTTCGAATGTAATGATAGTATGAATATTATATTGTGAAGTGAATTGATGTGTAAAGCAGACCCTAACACCCCTTTTTATAGTGCCAAAATAAGCTCCAACGGACCAAGGCATTAAAAGAGTGATTTGCTTGATTTATGAGATTGATTAAATGAGGATTCACAAGATATTGGCTTCCCAGCGATGTATGGACTTACCCATCGCTGGTAAGCCAATTTTCCTTCAGTTTTGAAGCCAACGGTCACCTACCCATCGATGGGTACATGCTTCCCATTGCTGGGTGGGAGGTTGACTTCCAAACAAGGAAAGAATCAACCTTAAATGACTTACAATGGTCATGCTCAACCAGCGATGGGTATGCCCTTTCATCGCTGGGTTCCCATCGATGGGTAAAAGTCCCCATTGCTGGGTAAGGTCATTCTGCCTTGTGTTGATATTGGACCAAGGCTTTAACAGCGATGGGTAGAACTTCCCATCGCTGTTTGGCATGGTTCTGGAACTTGGTTGGGCTAAAGGACCGCTTACCCATCGATTGGTAATTCCTCCCATCGCTAGGTGGATGGTTAGTCAAAAACTCATGGTTTTCGCGTGAATCACGGCCTAGCCAACCGATGCAACAAACCAACCAAAAAATCCAAAGTTCTCCAAAATAAAAACCAAGTGCTTAAAATACTTATTTGATGTATTTGGCTAAGAAATCAAGTGAGACACTTTAAAAACCACATCATTTGAGTAAAAACCACGGCTAGCCAAGTTTATGCTTTTTTGTGTGGTTTTTGCCAAACGACCAAAAACGAAAGGTGGTTTTCAAAGTATTTTTGTTGGAGAACTGTTTAAACATTCCAAGAAGTAAAAACTAGTCATAAAATGTTGAAAACCACTTGGTTGGATCGGACGCCAAATACCAACGCCGATAACTGAATGCCAAACGCCGGTTTCTGAAAACCGAACGCCAGTTTCCGAAAGCCGAACCCCGAATGGCTTGGTTTTTGGTTTAGGCGAACACCAAGTGTTTTTAATATGTTTAAGCACGTTTGAAAATAATTTTGATGATATGTAAAATGCAATAAAAATGTTTTAGCCTAACGAGCCAAAGTGCAAAGCTTGGGTTGGTCTTGATCACATTGTGACGGACTCAACGATGCTAAGGACTACGGTCTTCAATCTTGGTCTCTTTTAGCTCTTGTTCTCTTGCTTTCTTCTTATATTTATTTCTCGCCTTGTATATTCAACAACTTGTCTCGTTCACAGCGGTTTGGCATTATCAAAACCTGTCATAAAAACGAACACGGCTTTAGTACGAAAACGTGATAAACCCGTGTTTCAACAGAATCGTCATCGGAGCAGTATGAACAACTCTAAGTAACCTGAGAAGTCCTTTCAACCATTTAGCACACACGTAACAGAAGCAAGGGCTCTATATTTAGCCTCAGTAGAAAATCGTGCCACCGTGGTTTGTTTGTTTGTCTTCTAGGAAACTGGTGAATCTCCGAGTTACACGAACTAGCTAGTAAGCGATTGCTGACTCAAAGGGAAGGCCGCCCAATGAGAGTCACATCAACCCATAAGATGTAAATTATTATCACATGGATGAAAAAATTCCTTGACCTGGGCTCCCTTTCAGATACCGAACCACTGCAAGTGCAGCTGTCAAATGATCAGTCCGTGGTTCCTTTTTAAATTGAGCCATAGTATGCACATACATCGTAGGAAAGCTCGGAACGAGTAACAGATAGATAAACCAGGCATACCACAAGTCGACGATGTTTCTCAAGATCATTAAGCATACGACTCTGAGATAGAGCAAGCCCGTGATTTTGTTCCATAGGTGCCCCCAAAGGTCGGGCTCCCAATAATCCTGCCTCAGAAATAATATCAAGTGCATACTTTTGCTGACAAAAGAATATGCTAGACATGCTATGAGCAACCTCTATGCAAAGGAAATATTTGAGTCGTCCCAAATATTTCATGCGAAAACATACTGACAAATAAGATTTAAATTTAGCAATCATATCCGAGTTATTTCCTGTTATTACCAAATCATCAACACAAACTAAAATATGGATCCCCCCTTCTCGAGAGAGTGAGAATAATGTGTAATCCGAGATGGATTGTGCAAAACCATACTTCTTAAGTGTGCCTGAAAACTTAGCAAACCAACATCTAAGTTCATGTTTCAAACCGTATAAAAATTTCTTCAACTTACAAACCAAACCCGGTGTCGAAGGCATAAATCCAAGAGGTAATTACATGTACACTTCGTCTGTCAAATCACCATGCAGAAAAGCATTATGAACATCCATTTGATGAAGTTCCAAAGACCGTGTCGTAGCAACGGTTAAAAGAGTACGTATAGTGGTCAACTTTACAACTGGGTAAAAAGTCTCCGTGTAGTCAATTCCTTCGATCTGATGTTTACCAAAAATCACAAATGGAGCTTTGTACCACTCGATACTCCAATCAGGTTTACGCTTGATCTAGAGCACCCACTTGCATCTGAGTGGTTTATTATGTTCTGGAGCAGGCACAAGAGTCCAAGTATTATTTGCCTCTAGTGCTTCAATTTCTTCGCGTATTGCTATTTTCCAAGGTGAAGATAATATGGCCTCCCTGAAGTTCTTTGGCTCAACCTCTAAATCGATTGCTGTGATGAAACACTTCTTCCGAGGGGAGAACCAATTGTAAGAGATGTATGAAGCAAGTGGATATCTACATCTGTCATTAGACGCAACAATGTGGGTCACATAATTGGCTAAACGGACATTCGCTACTCGTTCCCGGCCATCTCCCGCGTCCAAGCTCAGCAACAGGTTTCTCTTTCATAGAAGGCATGGAGACTGGAAGGATGGGATTAGGGTTTCCGTCGGCCACTGGGCCATTGAGATCAGTCGTCGGTGCTGGTGCTGCATCATTTTTGGCGACCCCGTCTGGGTTGCAGTCAGTCGTAGCAGTAGCTGGGGTGGTCAATTTTGGCGCTGCATCACAGCTGTCGTCTTCTTCTAGGTTGGAGTCAACTGGGGCAATAGCAGGTTCCTCCTCACCCCTCTTGTCCCTCGCTGATGCTCGATCTTGTCTTAGTGGCCTCTGTGCCTGGTTCGAGGACTCCTCATCATAAAAAGGATTTTCGTTAACTGCAATGCTTTGTTCTGTCCCTGCATGTTCAAGTAAAGGGAAAACATCTTCACAAAACACAACATCTCGAGAAATGGTGATTTGGCCTATCTCGGGAAAATTGCCGGGATTGCCGAGAAAATTGCCGGGATTGCTCCAAGACACAAATTTGTCACCGTCCCTTTTTTTTATTATGCGAGTAACATCTACAACCAAGAACACGGATGTGGGTCAACGAAGGTGGCTTTCTATACCATTTTTCGTATGGGAAAACCCTCTTAAGCAAAGGAGATGGTGTCCGATTAATAAGATACGTTGCCGTTAGTATGCAATCACCCCAAAACTCTATAAGGAAGCCATGCTTTAAAACGTAGAGCACGTACAACATTTAGAATATGACGATGCTTTTGTTCTACGCATCCATTCTGTTGAGGAGTGGACACACGAGGTCTCATGAACAATACCCTGATCATGAAAATATTCATCCAGGTATTCAAATTCAGTCCCATTATTGCTACGAACATATTTGTTCTTTTTCCCAAATTTTCTTTCCACCATAGTATAAAATTGTTGAAAAAGTGTGGGAACAACCCCTTTTGTGTTTGTCAAGATCACCCATACCCCTCGTGAATAATCATTAACAATTGTCAAAAACATAGTGGATCCATTCAAACTTAGTGTTCGATACGGTCCCCATAAATCAATATGAAGCATATCAAAGATTGAACGAGATTCATGATAACTAATAGGAAAATTGGAACGCAAATGTTTTGCACGTAAACAAATGTCACAACATCCATTCTGTAAACTACTACTTTTATCTAAACCAGCAACAGGAATTAGAGACAACATCAGATGAATGATAGATGTCCAAGACGCCTGTGCCAAAGATCAAAATTGTTGTCTCACTTGATAATTAGCACCTTCTGTTCCTTCGTCTGTTGCAAACAATATAATTCGTTCACTTGCTTACCCACACCAATCGTTATCCTCAAATTTTGGTATCTCCTTCATTATGCACCTCATGTGCAACAGCCTGTCCTTTACAACGACCAGACCCCTCAGCCATCGTCCTTCTGCCACGACCTTCGCGGCCACTGCCTCACCTAGAGCCACGCCCTGCCAGGTTGTGACCCCGACCTCTATCGCGATTTGGCAGCCACCATTCACGAAAGCCATGAAGTTTGAAACAGACATCCACCTCATGTCCATTCTTTTTTCAATAGTTGCAGATAACACTCTTATCATTTATGAAGCTTGGACAGCAAACACAACAGCAAACGCAACAACGGCGCCTGCCTCTTGAACCAAAATTTGATAAATATGACTCATAGAAGGAAGCAGCTCTTGAGGTAAAAGTTGAGATCGAATTGATCCGTATACAGCTTCATCTAATCCCATTAGAAATTGATGAGCTCGTTCTTTTTCTTCCTTCCTTCGCAAAACAATGGCAAGCTTTCCTGAGCAATTGTTGCAAAGACCACATTCTGGAAACTTATCAATTTCAGCCAATTCATCCCACAGACTTTTCATCTTGCCATAATAAGCCATTATGGTAAGTCCCTTCTGCTTGCATTTGGACAACTCACGCTTCAATTGCATGACACAAGGTCCGTTTACAACTAAGAAATGTGCCTTCAATTCGCTCCATAAATCAGAAGCTAATTCACCAAACAAGATTGATGAATGCAACGATGGCTCGATGATGTTTCGTATCTATGAGACCAACAAAGAATGGTTTCTCCACCAATCATCGACATATTTTGAATCTACAGACGACAATGGTATCGATCCATCAACAAAGCCAAACTTTTTTCAAGCCCGTAGGGCTAGACACAAAGATTTGGACCATTCTTCATAATTATCTCCCTTTAAGACAACCTGAGTAAGAATCATTCCAGGATTGTCGTTAGGAGATAAGTCATAAGGAGAAATCCTACTACGTCTTGGCGCCACATCGTCTTCGTATCTCTCATCGTGACTTTCTATTCTTGCCGTAACAACCGTCGTGCAGGAGCTCACCAGTGTCTCTTCACTGGCCATGTTTGATTGGCTTTGTTCGAAGCACAGCAACTAGGGCAGCAACACGTCGGTAGTTGATCGAAAAAATAGACTGGAGAGAAGAATTTTATTGCTCTGATACCATGTTAGAAGAAGAATAATTTGGAGGTAAAATCTAAAAAGGAAACAAAAATATTTGCCAAAATCTACAGCTACCATATTTATATTACATAATATTTGTAAATATATTTGTTTCCAAATATAACTTTCGTAATACATTAGAGGACCATAAGTATGTAAATATCAAAATCTCATATATAATCATCTAAATTATAAAATATTTTATGATTCATTATTTTTTAAAAAAATTTGCTTTATTTTTCCAAAAGAAATCGATCGAATTGTACTTTGTGGGGTGATCATATTAATATATAGTGTGATTGATTTTCTCAATCCAAAAGAATCACGTCCCCTAATTCTTTTGATGCAAATGGTAAAACCTAGACTATACAATGATATTAGTAATATATGTTTCGTTAACATGTAGTAAACGTGTGACGCAAACATTGATACAAATAACCATTGGTGTGATGCAAACATTGATACATAATGTCTCGATTACTATATTTTATAATGTTAGTAAAGTCTTATTGAATGAAAAACTAAATGTGGTTACTGACTTCAGAGTTAATGACACCAACATATTTTCATACCGTAAGTACGAGTTGTGCCATGCACGGGTGCAATACTAGTTGTTGTTGTTATTGTTGTTATTATTATTATTATCATTATTATTATCATTATTATTATTATTATTATTATTATTATTATTATTATTATTATTATTATTATTATTATTATTATTAGTATTATTATTATTATTATTATCATTAGTATTATTATTATTAGTATTAGTATTAGTATTAGTATTATTATTATTATTATTATTATTATTATTATTATTATTATTATTATTATTATTATTATTATTATTATTATTATTATTATTATTAGTATTATTATTATTATTATTAGTATTATTATTATTATTATTATTATTATTATTATTATTATTATTATTATTATTATTATTATTATTACTGTTATTATTACTGTTATTATTACTGTTATTATTACTGTTATTATTACTGTTATTATTGCTGTTATTATTACTATTATTATTACTATTATTATTACTATTATTATTACGATTATTATTACTATTATTATTACTATTATTATTATTATTATTATTATTATTATTATTATTATTATTTTTATTATTAGTATTAGTATTAGTATTATTATTATTATTATTATTATTATTATTATTATTATTATTACTATTATTATTGCTGTTATTATTACTATTATTATTACTATTATTATTACTATTATTATTATTATTATTATTATTATTATTATTATTATTATTATATTATTATTATTATTATTACTACTACTATTATTACTACTATTATTACTACTATTACTATTACTATTACTATTACTATTACTATTACTATTACTATTATTATTACTATTATTATTACTATTATTATTATTACTATTATTACTATTATTATTATTTTTATTATTATTATTATTCGATGTCCGGTCAATAAGTAAAATAAGTTATCCAAAATACTCTAACTCTAAAATCACCAACAAGGCCTATGTAAGATATGTTCCGTGCCACCAACGAAAAAGTATGAGGTCAGGGCTACGTTGCAGGCATTGATGCAACGACAACCTACGGAACAGAGGAGTAAATTAAGGTGAAATTTGCACTAAATAGAACTAAAACATAATGACTTTCTTAATGTAGGACTTAAATTTTTTTATTCCCTAAATAAGACTTAATAATGACCTTGTGGGGGGAATAATGTCCAGTAATGATGGACATTTAGTTGAATAATGACTACATAATAATGACCAAAGGTCCTACATTGGGAAATAAAAACATATGGTCCTATATTGGGAAAGTCATTATGTTTTATAATTAGTCCTATTTAGGTAAATAACTCTAAATTAAGTCTATATTAGATTTCTTAGAAGAATATACTGCCAAAGAATATTTTTGTCAAACTCTACAATACTTTGACCATAAATTGTGAAAAAAATATATTTAGTTAAAATACAAATTTAGTAAAATTGGGTTAATTTTATAATACTGTTTTGATATATCAATTTTTATAACATTCAATTATTTAAAACTATATTTAATTTGTGATCAAATTGTTATATATACTTTGACCAAAAAAATTCAAACTATGATTATCTCTTTAAAATAGATAAGGTATTTGAGTTTTTAGTTTAGAAAAATAACTCTGAAATCTATCAAACTCCACATTTAATAAAATTCTTCCAAAATTTTCTTAATACCATTAAATTTTGATAGACATTTTAAAATCGAAATTGAATAAATTCATATTATAAACTACTGTTAACCCCGTGCTTCGCACGAGCTCATATATATTCTGAATTGCTGACATGCTCTTAATGTAATTTTTTTATTTTAATTTTCTAATAATTTTCTGTATGTGTTATATAAATTTATTATATATTTAAAATTTTTATAATAATGTTTTTTAGAAATACTAAAATAAAATTAATGATGGATACTTTTAACAATTATATAAAATGTTATTTCTAATTATATTACTCCCTCTGTCCCAATTTAAATTGTTTGTTTTGGTTTACGATGTTTGACTGAAGTTATTTCTAATGCAATTTATTAGAGAAATGAAGCAAGATTAAAAAGTTAACTATACATATTAAAAACTACATCACAAAACAATAGGTGACATGACCATATTATTTTATCAAAAATATCTTATAAAAATTTGAAGGTTTTATTAATCTTTAATATTAATAATGATTATTTTGTGTTAGAAAGTGAAGGATTTTATAAAGAATTTGATAAAATAAATTCTTATTTAATGGTTAACACGTACTCTGTGTTATTGGCACATGTGTTTAGGCATTATCGATAATGAATTTTTTAAATCTATTAGAAATGCACGAATGGTTGTTTACAAATAAATTAAACTTTAATGGTAATGAATTATCATACTCCATAAAAAAGTTATTTTAAAAAAATAATGTGAAATATATAAAAAAATTACAAGATAAAAGATATCATAATATTAAAGATATACTCCGTAGTATATTATTACATGACATGACATATGGAAACACATGACATGTAAAAACAAATAGAATGATATTTGCTGGAAGAAAGCTTATGTGGCTACACATGGCGTGACACTTAGTAAAAAGTCCTACATGGCATGACACATGACGCAACCACAATTAATTCACTCCACTTTATATATATACATATGATGATTACTCCCTTCATGTCTAAAAAGAGGTCTTATTTTGACTCATGGGTGAAATACAAAGTGTATATTTAAAATGTTAATTGAATACCCATCTAAGCTTTAAAATCCAAAACAAAATTTACAGAGTTGGCATTGAATACACTACTACAGCCAAGGATAGTAAATATAATCTTGTGTTTTAATATTTGTCTAGTTATACTTGTTTGAGTCCAAATAGTTGAACTTTAAATACCAATTACTTTTAATTTTTATTACATATTAATACCATAAAATAAAATTTTTAAAATTATGAACCACATAAATTTAATGAAATCAATTTTTATACCAATATAAATTACGGTTTTTATATAATTAAGATCAAAATTTATCGAGTTTAACACAAAAAGCCAAAATTTACAAATATAATGCACACAATTTTGAATTTTTAATAGCACAACTGAAATCATACAATGTAAAAAAATGCTTAATAACTTAGTGTTTCATTCGTTCATGTGAATTACTCCCTAACATCAAGTACAGCCAGCAGGGCTGAAGCCGAGCCTCTCTCCTGCGACGTCGTATACTACCTCCAAAGTCTGCTGCTGCATGCTTCCATAAATTCCTACATCCTTGCGGTCTTTGTTAGCGAGGAAGGCCAAGCACACCCGAGAATAATTTTCGTCGGCCACAGTCACGGTCCCATGCTTGGGTACACCCACCGTGACGTTCCCGCTGAACTCGAAGACTACGGTCGGGATGTTAATCTTAGTCTTTGTTTTGGCGTAGTTGCTGAGGTCGAAGCAGCCGTTGTCCAGTACGGAAAACGCGTGTGCCGTATTGTAAGTTTTCATCGCCTCCTCGAAGGCGGATTTGAGCGCCCCGTACGCTTTCGGGGGGAGATGGGTTAAGGTGGTGCCAGGATCGATGATCATTCTGGCATTTCCAGATGCCATCGCGTTAACTGGGAGTTTCTTCCCAGCAACGCTGATGGATTGGACTTGGACGTAGTAGAAAGAGGTGTCATTATTGCCCTTCTTTGCGAAGGGAGTGAAACTGAAATTCTTCCCTGCATCTTGATATCTCCCAAATTTTAGATACCCGTCATTATTTCCGTTTTGCGTGGGGAGGCAGTACGAGAAGATTTTGCCATACTTTTCAGCCGTTTGGGAGACGATCGATAAGGGGCCGGGGCCGAGGCCTAGAATCCCCGAGACCTTACCGAAAGTCCCGTTGTTGTAGTGCCCGCACCCGAATGTGAAATTGTCTATGACGGCATCTGCATGCGGCAAAGTCAATCGGTCTTTCCCCAAGTAGCCCACGGAGAAGGACGAGTCGTCGTACGATATCGCGTACCCACACGCTGACGAAGGCGATGAGCAATTCCTCGTGGGTCCAGGAACTCGGTCCATGGCGGAGCACGCGGCGGAGTTGCAAGAGGTGCTAGAATAAGTATGGGAATTCTTCGGGTCGAAAATGGATAACACTTGCTCGTAGCAACCTCCCGGCCGGGCGCAGGGGAGGCACTGGGTCCAGGTGAGGTCGGATCCGGTGTCGAAGATGAGGACGAGGTCCGTCGCATTGGTGCCGACGGAGACGGAGACGACATATCTCGTGGTGCCGAAATATAATGAGTTGAGGTTGGGAGATTGGGTCGGTAAAATGGCCGCGGCTTCGCTGAGGCGCTCGACCTTTCTGACTCGGTCATGGATTGAGTTAACTTGCAACTGGTCCCGAGCCAGAGTCTGGGTGAGGCTTGGTGGAGTGGAGAGATCATGAGTTGAGGCACAAGGATGATGCCTGTGGTGAACCTTTAATGATGCTGCTCCTCGGTCCAAACCTGAACAATGTTTCGCCACAATTCAATAAAAGATAATTTAGATATCACTTTTTCACTAAATAGGATTAGTCCTATCTGCTTTAAAGTTTGATAATGAAAACTACTAAACTACCATGCTTTTGAAAAAAATGCCCTATTACACAATGCAAGTAGAATTAGACATTATTTAAAAATAACTTGAATAGTCATTAAAATAATCAATCATTATCTCACACTTATTTTTAATGACCATATTTGTAGAGTCATTCGTATAATGTACGATATATATCGCACATCCATGAAGAACGGTCATTATTGTAGTTGAATGGATTGAGAATTGTGATACTTGATCGAAAATGTACATTCGGTATAAACTAATGATGATTATTTAGATTTCAAATGAACATATATATGTTTTGCATGTAATGTACTCCCTCCGTCCCTAAATAATAAACATCCTCTTTCGTTTTTTCTTTGTCTCCAAATAAACTTCTCTTTTCCCTTAATATAAAATACCACTTTTATCCCTTACTTTTTCATACCCTACCTATCATATCATACTTTTTTACTAATAATCTACCTATCACATCTTACTTTTACACATCAAATCAAAGGTATTTTTGGAAAGTCAACACAAAAATATCACTCCCCTAAATCATCAAAAAGTCAAAAATGGAAATTTATTTAAGGACGGAGGGAGTATATGATTTGAATATATATTCAAATAAATAAATTGCCAAAATGAGTACTATGTTACATAGAAATGAAAACTCACGTGAATCTACTGTTGGTGATTTTAATATCATCGACTATTTTATGTAATTGAAAATTACTTAGAATGAACGAAAATTTTAATAGATGTTGTTAACAAGTTCAGAGGTGTGGAGTGCACGCTCATTGAACAACATTATAAAATTCATAGCTAGGGACCGGGAGTGGCAGCCCCAAGAGCATGGTCCAAAGGGAAGAGCCCTTAGCGAGGCTCAAACCTTCGAATGTATAAATCATCACATTCGAGTGTAATATTTATCCATAGCATCATGTGTAAAACTACTCGATACATTCAAATGTTTGAACTCAAATATTCTAATGTTTCGCGATAAGTTGCAACGGTTCGCACATAACTTTAGAAGTAACCATTTATCCCAATCCGCCATTATACATTTGATTGTTTGAGTAGTAACATTTGAACGAATGTTATCCAAAAAGTTGTGTTGTTTCATCATTCAACATGTCACTTTAGAAATTTGCCTATAAATATACAAGGCGCAGGGTATGTTTTGATACAACAGAAATTTTATACTCGTTCTAGATTAGTTACGTCTTATGCGATTGAAGTATTTGGTATACACAAAAATAACTTTAATCTAAAAGTATTTATACGCGATTCGCTAAGTCTATCACACGACAAAAAAAACTTATTTGCACGGCTTAAAGTGCATTTTGTTTGAATTCATGAAAATTTAATATAATTAAAACTAGAGATTTAGAATAAGATATTCTCTATGTCCCAAAAAAACCTTTTCACTTTTATTTTTTCATACCACAAGTCCACAACAACAACACTTTCACTTTTAGTTTGAATTCATGAAAAAGTAATTTAAATCCAGAGTTTTAGAATACGATACTTATTCTTATGTCTCAAAAAATCTTTTCATTTTTATTTTCATATTCCTCCTTCCATAAAAATTTTTTTCCTTTCCTTTTTTTCTTGTCCCAAAATCTCTTACTCTCTTTTAAGAAACAACTTTTGTTATACGCCTATAATTTTGGTCGTACTTATCACATCATATTTTTTACCAATAATATATCTATCTGATGTCAAAAAAATGATATATCCATCATATACATTTTAATACAAATCTTCTTTTTATCTTTACTATGGAGTAATTATTAATATACAACGCACTTATTACATCATATCTATTTAATATTAAATTACACATCAGATCTCTTCAGATTTTATATTAAAGTAAGTGCCAAATTAAAAAAATAATGCCAAAATTGTACATTCCAATTTAACTTTTATTTTCCGAAAATGGAAAAACTTTTATGAGACAGAACGAATGCGAGGTATATATAATTTCCAAAATGTAGAACTAGATTTGGTCTATATTTTGGTTGGTAACTTAAAAAATGGATTTTGCAAGAATCCATTTTTATTCTTTATATTCAGACTTTATACTTTGGACTTCATTACCAAGAATATGACCAGGCCCTTAAAAAATAAATTAGTCCAATTTGGGTAAAGTACTCGTGTTATACTCCTATATCGAGTAATTTACTCAATTAGATTCTCATTAATAACTTGGGCTTTGTTTGGAAATCACGATTTCAATTAGCATTATCAATTTGCATAAGAAAATTATTGAGACCACGAAACGTGTAATCTCACCCCAATCTCACATTAGTATGATATCTTTCATTATATGCCAAGTCCTAGTTCACATATTTATTTTTGGATTCTTTTCAAGAGACTTGATCATACTAATGAGTTAGGTTAAATCATTACATTCTTTTCTTGTTTTTTTTGGTGTGGACTAGATTGCTTCGAACAATTTTAATGATGCAGAGTAGCTTTTGCCTTTTGAAAAGGAAAAAAGAAACTAAATGCTAATGTTTGAAAGATTTTTTAAAACGTTAGCTCTAACTTGTAATGTTGTTACCAAAAGTGTCCCTTATTGAGTGTCTAAACTCCATCTTCAATTACCAACTCTAGTTAAATAATATTCGGAGACTGATTGGATGCGATATTTACGGGCCTTAATAACCGTATCACATGCATTTTTTAAAATGAGGATAGTCTATCCGGGATAAAAATATGTGGTGGTTAAAATGGGGTTTTAAAATAATGGTGCATAAATAGCTAGTATACAACCATGTTAGGGGTAAATTAATCAAGAAAGCGTTTACACGCGATTCTTTAAATTATCAAGTTGTAATTCATTTGTCTCTTCGTTCATCTTACTGTTAACGCTGCTTCGCAGTGTTCATCCTCCAAACGATTTTTTAACAATAGATGCTAATGTAATTCAGGCAATGTTCTTTTCTACTCCCTCCGTACTTAAAAGATTGTCACAGTTTGACTTTTTTGGTCAAACTATGGCACCATTTGACAACAAATTATGAAAAAAATATTTTGTTATAATTTAAATTTAGTAGAATTTAGCTTATTAATTTTTTTTGAAATATCAAATTTTTACAATATTTATTTATTTTAAATTATATTTAATTCATGGTCATTATTTTATTAATTTTTATTAAGACTTTATACTTTGGACTTCATTACCAAGAATATGATCAAAGATGTCCTAAATTAATTAAAATATATATTAGTCCAATTTGGGTAAAGTACTCGTGTAAGGCTCCTTTGTTGGGTAATTTATACTCAATTGAATCCGAGCAATGCTAGGTTCACAAACAGTATCTTCACAAACTTCACAAGTTAAACTTACTATTTTTAGTTTAAAATTTTATTTTGAAATCACTTTAGGCCATTTAATTTTTTCATTGAAGTTCACAAATAGTAAGTTTGTGATGTTTGTGACCATTGTGTTTGTGAACCAAGCATTTCCCATTAAATTCTCTTTAACTTCGGTCTTGTTTGGAAATCACAACTTCAATTAGCGCTATCATTTTATTTAAAAAAATTATAAGGACCACGTGTGATCTCACTCCAACCTCGCATATAGGCCAAGTCCTTGATCACAAATTCATTTTTTGGTACTTTTCAAGAGGCCTCATACTAATGAGTAAAGTTAAACCATGAAATCCTTGTTTTTCTCGGTGCGGACTAGGTTGCTTCCGAAAATTTTAATGATCTAGAGTACGTAGCTTTTGAAAACGAAAAAAGAAACTAAATGCTAATGTTTGAAAGATTAGTACATACCCTAAAAAATTTCCAAAAATGAAAAAATATGAACCCTAAAAAAGTGTCATTTTGATATTATTTTCTAATTATGAGTTATCTACTCTACACATCACATCTTACTTTATTATAAAGTAAGGTAAAATTAGAAAATAATATGAAAATTGTAAATTTTTAGGACGCACTTTTTTTGGGACGGAGATAGTACATTTCAAAGAATGGGGGCATGCAGTCCATCACTCCATCCTCGATAAAAAATGAGGTTAAAAATGGGCTTTTAAACTAAGTAAAAATGTAAAAAATAGAATAAAGTTTATAGGGAGTATATATTTAAGTGTTGAATAAGAAATTAAAAGGTATAAAATAAGATTTCGACCCTAAAAACAACAAAATTTGGGAGTGTAGTTGAAGAGGGTGGAGGGAAGATTTCGGGTCAGGTCGGGTAGTTGGGTTTACTGGAGGGATAAAAGAAGTAAGAACCCATCATTTTTTCAAATAATATACAATATATATTTTACTTAATTCTAAGATCAGATTGAAAAAAAACTTGCCTGAAAAAAATCAAAACTAGACAAATACTCTCGGATAGGTAGTATGTAATTACTTTCCTTGTTATATTATTTTCTGTTACCATAGTTGTTCTTCTACCGTGATTAAAACAATTTCATGTAATTCATATAAATAAGGATATGTCCTTCAATATTCAATAAAATTAATTATTATCAAATTTAATTGTATCAAATGCTATTAGTTTCATTAAAAAATTATCTCGATCTTAATACTTTCTTAATCTAATGTTGCATATATAGTGAGCCAATGTTTTCGTTTCTGCTCGATTTCAAACTTGGGTGAGTTTTTCTATTAACTTTGATAATTGAGCTCAAACTCGCGTATGCGACATTTATTTAATTTGATACATTCAAATAATGAAAAAAATTCTGGCAGTTTAATTTTTTTAATTAAGAACAGAAGAAAGTATATATGGTACCGTAGCGGGATGGAAGGAGACTGATGGCGTACGTACCTGAAGGACGCGGATTGTTATTATTGTAATTGTTGCAATGAGCAGTGGAAGGTTGATGCTTAGGGAGGAGAGAGCTAAGCTGAAGGCTGTAGAAGTTGTTACTAGTCACCGCCTCACTACTTACGATGATGACTAATAATAATAAGAGAGCAAAGCAATAATTAGATGGAAACATGATTATTTTTTTATACGATGGAAACATTATTTGGTTGAAGAGACTTGTAATGCATCGATCTCTAACGACCTGCTTGGGATATATATATATATATATATATATTGGATCATGTGAGAATGCAATCTTATCAAAGAAATAAAAATGAATCTGGTACGATAGATTGTGAGATCTAAGGGTCAAGATTGCATCAAAATTAGGTGCACCAAAATGATTTGAAAATGCATCATGTCGAAATGCACCAAAATTCTTTAAAAATGCACTATCTCAAAATCTGAGTGCAGGATGCAATCTGAGCCGCACGATGCATCAGATCCAAAGACTAGATTTTATTCTTATTTCTTTCACCAAGGTGCATTCTCACCTGAACCGCCCCCAGAATGCATCTTGTGGAGAGAAATGAGAATAAAATCTAGCCGTCGGATCTGATGCATCATGCGGCTCAGATTGCATCATGCGCTCAGATTTTTAGATAGTGCATTTTCGAAGGTTTATGGTGCATTTTGACGTGATGCATTTTCGCACCATTTTGGTGCATCTAATTTTGATGAAATCTTGACCCTTAAATCTCACAATCTAAAGCACTAGATTCATTCTCATTTCTCTCCTAAGATTGCATTCTCACCAGAACCAAAATCTATATATATATATATATATATATATATATATATATATATATATATATATATATATATATATATATATATATATATATATATATATATATACTCCCTCCGTCCCACTCTTTTTGTCCACTTTCATTTTTGCACACCATCCAATGCATTTCTTTAATCCATTTTATCTTGTAATTTATATATTAAAAAATTATAAAAATTATATATTAATAATCTATATGTTAAGACGAATCAAACAAGATCACACATGACTATTTTTAGACTTACACATTGAGAGAATTTGATGAGTCAAAGTGCTTAGATAAACAGTTCCAAAAGTCAAAACTGGACAAAAAGAGTGAGACGGAGGTAGTATATAAAACTATATATAGATAATTATAGTGCTCTGTTCATAAATAGATTGTTCTTATTCCCTAACCCCTCGATAAAACCCCACAACTCAGCTCTGACCCTAATGCACTCTCGCACCCCGTCCAATTACACCGCCTTTGATTTTGTTGACTTTGTGGTCAATTTCTAGACACAAATAATTATAAAAGTGGAGTAATTGAAAGAGGTACGGTGATGATGTGTTAGGATCGGGCCGAGCTGGATGTTTACTTGGGGGTTAGGAGGGATAGGTTACTCGTAGGTTTTACTCCGAATTAATTTATTATTATGATTAAAAAAATTGTCATTATTAATACTGAGTATTATTATTATTATTATTATTATTATTATTATTATTATTATTATTATTATTATTATTATTATTATTATTATTGTTATTAGTATTATTATTATTGTTATTATTATTATTACAATTACGGAGTATTATTATCATCCAAGGAGGAAAGATTAGATATGTGTTCGATATATAGAGGATCCCACAATCATGTGCGCTTGTTTTTTGTAGAAGCTCAAAAGTAAAAAATAAATCTGTATCTAATTAATTTGTTCATTCAAGAAAAGAAGTTGATGTGTATTTGGATTATACGGATTTTAAAGAGGAAATGATGAAAAGATACCGCACTATTCAATAATCCAACAATGCTACAAGTACATTAAAACTAGTTTTTACCCCGTGCTTCGCACGGGCTCGCATATTTCTCTATAAAATATATCTATATGTTAACATAGATATTTTAAGTTAACATTTTGGATGTTTGTTAAAAGTTCAATTCATATATGAACATAATATGAATTAAAATTTAATTTTATTTATTTTAATGTTTTAATAATAATATGATATGCATTAATAAAATAAATAATGTAATAAGATAAATTTTTTGAAACAAATCGTTTAATTAATAAATATGCATATGTGATTAAATTTATATAATCATTTTTTAAAAAGTAATAAACTAAAATAAGTTGTGGATAGTATAAAAATTATATATATATATATATATATATATATATATAATATGGAGTATATTTTACGATGATATATATATTTATAGAATTATTAAAAAATGAAAAAGTTTTATGCAAATGTATTCAAAGATCTTTTAAAAAAATCAAAATGGACCAATGAATTAAAATTCATAAATCCACATCATTAGTGAGTGCACATGTGGATACACATGTGGCATGCCACATGTCAACACTACAACAATTGAACTCTCTTTTACATATATATAGGATATATAGGATAGGATGCGGTATCTAGCTATTTGTATGCAAGACAAACACGGACAGTTCCTATTTGTGATCATAGATATTAAGTGTTTGTGTTAACCTTATATAATGGGGTATCCATTTTGGTGTTTATTATAAATAATAATATATGAATAGTAAGAATTTGACTAAAAGCTAAGAGGAATGAGTAATTTAGATTACGGTTATATTCTCTTACCCTGATCTGAATGATTCTTATATGATTGAAATAATTTTTGATGTTATTTGATTTGGATGTAGTTATATTTAAAATTATTTCTAATGTGATATGGTTTGATTTTATTCAAATAAAAAAAGGTAATAAATAATAAGATTAAGTTTAAAAATACAAACTACATAGTACATACTACGGAGTATTTCGTAAATAGAAAGTAAAATACTCCGTACTTGTTTTAGTATGAATGGAAAAGATAAATGAAGAAATTTCTATGGAACACAACAACCAAAAAGCACATTTCTCATCATTAATCTTTACGACTCTTTAGTATGTAACGCTTTGTTTTCAAAGGCAATGTTATAAAAAAAACTAGAGGTCCTTATTTTCAAAAGTATTGTTGTGTTCCTTTCGTCTCTAAATCATTTTTAATTTACACACTTTAATATTCAAAAATCGCGGGAATTTTTTATTTGTGTGCATGATTTTATTGATTATTTGATAAAATAAAATATTATTGTCACATCTTGTTTTGTATAACTTTTGATGTACTTTTTAAATACTCCATGTAAGTTTTTTTATTTATATACCAATCTTTAAATAAAATGATTTGAAAAAATTTGAGATTTTATTTTGTTTTTCATAAAGGGTAAATGATTTAGGGACAAATAAAGGCGGTATAATACTCCATCTGTCCCTCAAAACATGGGAGATTTTTATTTTTATGGAATTTAAGGAGAGTGCATTTAGGTGTTAAGTTATCAAAAATGTCGTCATTTGATGTGATTGTAAAAGTATGATTTGATGCATAGATTTATAGTGAATAGATGTGACGTGATAGGTAGGTTAAAAATTAGTATGAGTGAAAGTGACTTTTTTAATAGAAATAAAAAAAAGTTATTTAGAACGGATGAAAAAAGAAAAGGAGAAAGATTTTCAGGGACGAAGAGAGTACACCGTTTAATATTATACTCCCTCCGTTCTAAAATGACCTTCCCACACACTATCCACATGGTCAAACTATAATAACCTTAATTACCTATATTTTCGTTAGTTATTTGATAAAATCATATACTCATGTCACCTCTTGTTTGATAGAGCTTTTGATGTAGTTTTAAAATATACTCCGTATAATTTTTATTTTTTAATTTTACAGCTATAATCAAAAAAATTGAATTGAAAATAATTTCACTCGAATCTCGTAAATCGAACTGGGAAGATCATTTTTGGACAGAATGAATATTATATGGTCTCATGCATATATATAGATAATAATTATATGCCAAACATTTGTGTATGTCTATTAGATACATTATGATATGATGTCAAACATGGTGTCAAATCTTACTTCCCTAGTAGTTTGAGAGCTGAGCTCTTTCAATGCTGAGGAAAACAAGATTTCCTCACTCATACATCTTTTTATTTTCCCTCTCCTATACATTACTCTCTCCTTTTGGAAAAACACTTCCCATCTGGATTTTGGGTAAAAATAAGGAAGTTAAATTATAGTTGATTTCCAATTTTGTCCCTGATGTGATAGGTAAAAGTAAGATGTGATGGATAGATTATTAGAGAAAAAGGATGATGTGATAGGTAGGGTATGAAAAAGTAAGGATAAAAGTGGTTTTTTAATAGAAAGGGGAAGTGTTTTATTGGAAGTGAAAAAAATGAAAGAGGAAGTGTTTTTGAGAACGGAGGAAGTATTTTTTTCTATGTTTTTTAAGCAAATTTTTACATGGTCCTAAGGCCCATGTTTATTACTTGGACTTTACTTATTATATTGATATCATAAAAGAATTAAGATCCATTCCAGTTATATGGACCTTGGTGATGTGGATCCATTAGTATTAGTATTAGTATTAGTATTAGTATTAGTATTAGTATTAGTATTAGTATTAGTATCAGTATCAGTATCAGTATCAGTATCAGTATCAGTATCAGTATCAGTATCAGTATCAGTATCAGTATCAGTATCAGTATCAGTATCAGTATCAGTATCAGTATCAGTATCAGTATCAGTATCAGTATCAGTATCAGTATTAGTATCAGTATTAGTATTAGTATTAGTATTAGTATTAGTATTAGTATTAGTATTAGTATTAGTATTAGTATTAGTATTAGGTAGGAAGCCCACTCCTTAGGATTCATGAGAAAGTTCACCCATGTTCGAGACTCCATAGAGGCAGAGGCGTTAGTTCTTTAATTTTTGCGTCATTACGTTGAAAAATGCATGAACAGATATTACGTTGTAATAGAGTCAATAACACCGAAAAGTATAAGTATTAGGATTAAGATTAAGGATTCTGACTAAAGTTAGGATAAGAATTAAAAATTAAGATTAAGACTATGATTAGAATTAAATATTTATAAGGATTAGGGATAAGATTAGGATTAAGATCAGAATTAGGATTTAGAATTAAAAAAGTTCCCTAGATAAGAGTAAAAAATGTGAAAATATCAAAATAAGAGTCCTAAATCTTTTAAGACCAAAATTTGAGTACAATGACAATGTCGTGTAAGAGTACGCATTGGTTGTATAATGAAAAAATGAGGACTGTAATTTATCAGTGTGATCAGTCAAACGTCGGTGATATGCGACAACACTCTGGTGGCCGACGATGACAGATGGCATTGTAGCAGTGATAGTGTGGCAATTACAATGTTACAATGTGCTGAGCGTGACAGTGTAACTGATGGATACCCTGGACAGGGGTATCCGGTCTTTGTGTAATATTAGTTGGGGCGGTCCAGTATATTGGACCGGCCCGTTAATCATTTATTAATTATTTATTTGAGGGCGGCCCAGTCTGTTGGGCCGGCCCATTTGCTTGTACATTGACTCAAATCCTAACCCTAACTCCCATTATTTATATTCCTCTTCTTGGAAGAGGAGGGGAGGGAGGAAACAATGAAGGCTACACTATTCATCATCTTCTTCATCTAATCTACATCTTTTCTCCTTTTCCTCTACCCTTGGGTTCCATAACCCAACAGTAACAATGGCAGTGTGAATTGTATGTTATTTTGGTGTGAAAAGATTTATAACTCCTATTTTAGTACTTTCACAGCTTTTTACTCCTATCTAGGGAGTTCTTTCATTAGAATATTGGATTAGAATTAGGATTTAAGATTAGGACTAGGCACTTTACCTTGGGTGAAACGAGATATTTTCAACATTAGCTTCTAAGCCCAACAATATTTGTGAGAAGGTCTAAGAATTAGGCGTGGACCTTGAGTGCATTGAGTCACTACTATAGAAAATACTTTTTCCTCTGTCATTTTTGACCTTTTGTAGCGGTTTCTTACCGATGCAAAAGGTAGCTAGCAATGCAATTGGTACAAATATTTATTACATCAGTTGTATAACCGATTCAAAAGACCTATCATGAGTACATAATTCACGCTCTGGTAAGGGTTTTTGCATCGGTTAATCCAGAATAACCGGTGTAAAAAAATCTTCCCGCTAAAATTGAGAAAGTCTTCTTGGTGTTATTCTGGAAAACTCGATGCAAAAGGTTTCCTAGAACTGATGCCAATTCTGGATAGCACTTTTTTTTATTGATTTTCAGTGAAACTGATGCAAATGAGGTAGTTGATTTATACTTTTTTTTGGAGTAGTGAATCACCACTACTCTTAAAATAAAAGGAAAGATCCACTTGCCAACCATAAAAAATGCAAGAAGATTTATATTTCACATGTAGATCTCATGAAGCATGGAAGAACAATTTTTTTTAAATTCTACAACCAGACTTTTTTTCCACTCTAGTACATCTCTCTCATTTAGGTAAAGGGGAATTTACTTAAATAGGACTAAGATATAACGACTTTCTCAATATTGGACCATATATTTTTATTTCCCAATTTAGGAACATTGGTCATTATTCATTAGTCATTATTCAAGTAAATACCCATCATCACTGGATATTATTCCTCCTACTAGACATTATTAAGTACTCCCTCCGTCCCATGAAACATGTGACTTTTGCTTTTTAGGAGGGATTTAAGGGGAGTGTATTTTGGTATTGAATTTCCAAAAATGTCCTTTGATGTGATGAGTAAAAGTATGATTTGATGGATAGATTATTAGTAAAAGGTATGATGTGATAGTTAGTGTATGAAAAAGTAAGGGGTAAAAGTGACTTTTTAATAGAAATGAGAAGTGTTTTGTGGGACAGATAAAAAAAGAAAAGAGAAAGGTTTTATAGGACGGAGGGAGTACAATTTAGAGAATAAAAAAATTTAAGTTTACATTGAGATATTATTTATGTTTTAATCCTATTTAGTACAAATTTCACTTGGCTAAAAGGTAATGAGAAGCAAGTCAAGCAACCCTGTGATATTCACATTGGTCACAATTGTGATAGCTATGGAATTGCTCGATCACAACATCTATGAAAACTACTCCCTCAGCTCCCGCCATATCTACCGCAAAAAAATCCTTTTTCTTTTTGACAAAAAAAGTGTGTTCACATAATATTTCTCTTCTCCACTAATACGCAATCATAAGGGTCAATTTGGTTGGGTGCACACAAGAGTATAGTTTAAACCGGTGTCCACTCGAATATCTATTATTAATCATTTGATGGATATAATCCACTAGTACCACCCGGAAAGTTCACAAGCGCCCGAGTGGATGACCTGAAGACTGCCCGGGTGGATGACCTGAAGACTACCTGGGTGGATGACCTGAAGACTGGATGGCTTGAAGACTGCCCAGGTGGATGACCTGAGGAGTGATCAGCTTGAAGACTACCTGGATGGATGACTTGCACACTGGCCGCCTTGAAGACGGCCCGGGTGGATGACTTGAAGGCTGACCGGTTGAAGACTGAGCGGTCGGAAGAACAGTAACGTCGGGATGTGCTTGACGTGCTTGTTTTTATTATAAATACCCCTAAAAGCCTCATTTGTGAGGGCACGCTTTAATTAATCCACACGGCTTGTATTTGTAATAGCTTCTAGTATCATTAATAACAAACCGGGTTACAGGTGTTTCCACATACAGCCCTTCCGATTACTTACACTTAACGTTTGCGCGGTAATTTACACCATCAAAATGGCGCCGACCTTGGGACTTCTTTACAAAAAGAAGCCATGACGAACAACAATATGAAATTCATCATTTTCCAAACTTCCACCCCGGCAGAGGGTGTTACCCTGATCCCGGGAGGAATCACATCATTACCTTCTCTTTTCTCCCCCATGATCACCACCTTCACTACTCAAACAACGCCGAATCAGGCCCTCCAAAAGTTCGGACGATTTATGCCCATTTTCCAACAACCTGGGGGATTTACTCTTTTCATCCGTATGATGTATCCCCATGCTTTGGCTCAAAATACATCTCTTTCCAACACGTTGGGGCATCCCCCGTCGTTTCAACCGACCAGTACCACCCGGTCGGTCATCCCGACAAAACCACCCGGGGCGCTGGAAAGGGCAGGCCCTTCTCGGTCTATGAGGAGCAGATCCCACAAGCACCACACTCAGGTCACACCCGACGGGGGCGTGCGCTCTGTGCGCAGCAGGGATGAAGACCGACAGGGGCCAGAAAAAGCTGCAGGGCAAGCCGTCCAGCCGGAAGGTTCACGACGGTCAGCGTTCCAGAGGCTGGGACACGAGGGGCAGAACCAGAACCGGCCGGCCAAGGAGCGGTTGGGAGTGAAGGTTCCCAAGCAAGGCAAATTCTACAGGCTAGAAGGTGGTAGGCGACCCGGTCAGACCGGGCGCTTTGACCCTCGCCTCCCTGATGAGCCCCAACACAATAGGGTGCCTAGAGCGGAGGGCCAGGCGGAAAGCCAGCCCAGAGTGGCGATGCGCACACATGCTGAACTACCCAGCAACCAGGTGGACAAAGCGGAAGAACGTTTGGAGAGGCTCTTGAAGAGAGTTCGTAGGCAGGAAAAAAAGAAAGTGGTGTTGAACAACCGTTTTATCATCCGCTAAGACCGGATATGTACCGTGCTAATGTTCAATAAAGTTGATACTTTTTCAGAAAAGATGGTAAGACCGGTCGGGGAAGGTTGCAGACCCATCTGCCCGGTCAATGTTCAATCGAATTGAGCATTACAAAACCACCCGGGCAGAACACCATACTTTTTTAGAAAAGATGGTAAGACCGGTCGGGGAAGGTTGCAAGACCCATCTGCCCGGTCAATGTTTAATCGAATTGAGCATTACGAAACTACCCGGGTGGAACACCATACTTCAATCGAATTGAACTCAAAAAAAAAGGTATGTGACACCGGCCCGGCCTGGTACACTGGTCTCATACCAGTATTGCACATATTAAAAAAAACTGCGACCTAGTCGAACTGGTACACTGGTCTCACACCAGTCTTGTGCAGTATAAATAAAAAAAATAAAGAAAATATGTGACCCAGCCGAACTGTTACACTGGTCTCACACCAGTATTGCACATATTTTCCCACAAGCCTGAGCCCAATCGAATTGGGTACACCGGTTGCACATCGGTTTTAGCAAAAAAAGAGCCCGGTCAGACTGGGAACATCGGGCCTACCCCGATCTTCGATATCTTTCCCTAAAGACGTTTCATCTGGGCAAGGTCAGGGTGAACAAGCCTACCCAGGATAAATAAAAAAACAAAACTGCCAACCCGATCAAGATTCAGACTCGGGTGAGTGACGGGGTCACGATGGATTCGCTTAACTTGGCACGAAGGACTTTTTCAAGAATATGTTCCCCCGTTTGCATGGCGAGGCCATGAATGGAAAGAATTGATTGCCTTGCTCACTCGGAGGACTAGAGCTCTTGTTCACGCGGGTGAAAGAAGAAATGACTCACATGATCAACTTTGAAGCATAGCCCGGGCATGCTCTGTCAAAACCCACACGGGTGGCTTATTTCCTACTCGGGTAGAAAGAATGGTGAGATGCGTTAGACCGGGTAGACACAGCTCGGCCGTGACCAAAGAGATTAAGAAATCGAACGACCAGGTCAAAATCCTGCAGCCGGTTGCTCAAGATCCCGTACAGCCCACGGTGCTTTTGGTACTGACCGGTCCCAAACCCAAAAATCCCAATGTCATCAATCAGTTGCTGGGACACTTGGAAGAACCGGATGCCAAACTCTAGGTCAGAAAGTGCCTGGACAGCGAACTTCTCCGGTTTCTACGCATCCTAAGTAGTGGCGTGAACAGTTGGAGCGCTCCCTCTCCAGCTTAGCCTTTAGCTGGGCATTCTCCACCTCTAGCTGGCCCATCTGCCCGGCCTTCATCTGGAACTTCTCATCTATCAAGCACCTGACCAATCGGGTGGCTCACTCCTGCCCGATGCTGGAAGAGGAAACGACGCGATGACTAAGCGGCGGCGTACCAAATTTCCGTAATAACTTTCCCGCCAACCATACCCGAGGATTCAAAAAATTCAAAATTTTTCAGACACTTGATTCCCGCCCTTGATGGTGCCCACAAAGCCGAGAATCGGAGGACTCCTTGATGGATATAATCCACTAGTACCACCCGGAAAGTTCACAAGCGCCCGGGTGGATGACCTGAAGACTGCCCGGGTGGATGACCTGAAGACTGCCCGGGTGGATGACCTGAAGACTGGATGGCTTGAAGACTGCCCAGGTGGATGACTTGAGGAGTGATGAGCTTGAAGACTGCCCGGACTGATGACTTGCACACTGGCCGCCTTGAAGATGGCCCGGGTGGATGACTTGAAGGCTGACCGGTTGAAGACTGACCGGCCGGAAGAATAGTAACGTCGGGACGTGCTTGACGTGCTTGTTTTTATTATAAATACCCCTAAAAGCCTCGTTTGTGAGGGCACGCTTTAATTAATCCACACGGCTTGTATTTGTAATAGCTTCTAGTATCATTAATAACAAACCGGGTTACAGGTGTTTCCACCTACAACCCTTCCGATTACTTACACTTAATGTTTGCGCGGTAATTTTCACCATCATCATTATTGTCTACTTCCACAAATAAATTTCTCGTTGCGCGTTACGATGTTTGACTGAAGTTATTTTTAAATCATTTTACATGAAAAATGGTGTGAAATTTTAAAACAAAATTTACATATTAGAAAATTATGTCAAAATATTTACAAAACTAGACGTGACATGACTATATTATTTTATTAAGTAATAATGAAAATAGACCAACAAAGTGAATAAAGTTTGACCATGTGAATAGGGAACGACAAGTTTATTTGTGCACGAAAGGAATATATACTTTCTGTTTCAAGTTACAAGATATCCCTTGCATAATCCTCTTGGATAATTTACCTAAATATAACTAAAACATAATGACTTTCTCAATATAGGACCATATGTTTTTTTCAATGTAGGACCATTGTTTCATTATCTATTAGTCATTATTCAACTAAATGTCCAACATCACTTGGACATTATTCTTCTCACTAGTCATTATTAAGTCCTATTTAGGAAATAAAGAAGTTTAAGTCCTAAATTAAGAAATGATTTATGTTTTAGTCCTATTCAGTGCAAATTTTACAATCAATCCTCTTTCTTTTACAGGAGGCCTCCCCACCCCCTAGAGGAGAGACAATTGGTTGAAAAACGGAGGAGAGACAATGGATGCGGAGGAAAAAAAATATATCGGTGGCTCCTAATATGAGGCCAATATGGTGTAGCGAGTGTTTCATAAATATTTGTAGTGCATCCGAAGTGTCTTTTCTTTATCTCACCAAGCATCTTTTTTTGTGAAAATTTATATCTGAGATATGACCTCGAAAGTAAAAAAAATAAATCTGTATCAAATTAATTTGTTCTTCAAAAATAGAATTTGATTTGTTTATTTGGTTTTTGCGGAGATTAAAGACTAAGGCAGCATGTCGTTCAACTTATTTTTTTGCTTATTGTCTATTATAATTAAAATCAGATCAGATCAGATCCAATCATATCAGATCTAATCAGATCAGACTATATCTAAAAAATTAATAGTATTATTCTTATTATTATTTTTACTATTATTATCATCAACATTATTATTACTATTACTATTACTATTACTATTACTATTACTAATACTATTACTATTATGATTATACTTATTATTACTATTGTTATTACTATTATTATTATTATTATTATTATTATTATTATTATTACTATTACTATTACTATTATTATATTTATTCTAACTATTGTTATTATTATTATGATTATTATTATTATTACTAATACTATTACTATTATTACATCAAAAAAATACTATTACTATTATTATTAATATTATTGTAACACCCTCCGTCCCGCGAACCCAGTTTACCGCAACCCAACGAGCCGAAGGGGTCACACAGATGGTATTTAGGACCATCCAAATGAAAACTTCTTTAATTAAACATTATAAATCTTAAACTCTTGATATATTTATTCGAATAAAAACCGTTGGGGATATTAATTCCCTTAAGTGATCAGAGTGAATGGAACGTTAAGTTATGTTGTTGCGGAAGCATTAGAAAAACCGAATGTTTAGTCCAAGCTAATTAAATATGACAAATGTGGGTTCAAGCCCAAAAATGTTTATAGTGTTAAATAAGAAATATATCAGGTCCACGCCATCGCCTGTCTGCCGCCCCGATCTCCCAATCCTCCGGCTCAGGCTCCATGATCATCGCACCTACCTGCATATAACAAAGACAACGCTATACGCTCAACATAAGCTGAGTGGTAATCTAGCAATAGAACACATAGCAATATTTCATATGGATGTAGTCATATTTTTACCTATACTAATGTACGGAGTACCACACATAAAACTGATTATTAAAATCTGCATAGTAACTTACAAATAACACAATGCCAAATGATTCATGATGCATGAGTTAGACTATGCAGGGACCTCCTGCCCTTCGGTGATCATCCCACGACGGTGATCACTACAAAAAAGAAGGCAATACCGATAGGGGTCAATATGTCGCTAATGGTTAAATATCTGTCGCTACTCGCTTTTACCGACAAATAATTGTCTGTCGCTAAGTTGTTGCTAAAAACCCTGTCAATAAAAGTATTACCGACAGATAAAATAGTGTAATAGCGACAGACCACATATGTCGCTAAAACAGAGAGAAGTACCGACAAAACATATATGTCGCTAAAAAAATGAATTACCGACAAAACAAAGTGTGGGTAAATCCTTCTTTTATGTCGGTAATACCTTGTTTTTATCAACATTAACATTTATTATAACTGTCGCTAAAAGTTATATTACTGACAAAAATATCTGTGAGCCAAACATTTTTTTCTGTCGGTAATAGCTTATTTTAACCAACGTTTACATTTATTATAACTATTACTAATACCAAGTACTATTTAAGTGATATTAAATAATTTCATTGACAGATAAAAAATAATATTCATACTTGTATTAAAAACAATACATATTATGATAACATTTCAAAGGATTACAACTAACCCATTTACTAGAATGTAAACCAACATCATTTAAGCTAAAGTATAAACAGTCAAAGTGAACTAAAATAAAATACGCATCGATATAAAAGATATAGTCCAAAGCTTTAATGCTTGTCACTGTATAAATCTTCAAGTTCATCGCTCTCAGGTTCATCATCTTTGTTTCATCGATCCTCATCATTTCTCAGTGGTTGTATTACCACTAGTTGTAAGGTCATCGATATCAGATTGATTAGCTTTTGAACCCTATGCAAAAAAATATAAGCACATGATAACGTAGTTACATATTTTGCACCAAATTTACCTTATACTCATACTAGGTGGCATAACTTTAAACTATATAATGAACTAAAAAAATCAAATGAAATATATGGGTAGTTAACAGTAATAAATAGAGACTAACCAGGCTATTTAAAAGCAATGACACTACATCTTCTAAATTCTGGAGTCTCTCTTTTGTTTCTTCATGCTCTTGTTCAATTTTCAATCTTTTTGCTTTCTCCTCCTTCAAGGCGCACCTTTTAGTACAAGATCGAGGCACTCTTACTCCCATACCAAAGGTCTTTGCATATCCATTTTTGTCTTCTCC